AAAACTCAGGCATCGAGTATTTTTTCAACTACATAAAAATTTGTCCTCTTCACTACGTATTCTGTGATGACCTGGAGCCCTTCTATCCTACACAAGTATGTGAGTTTTATTACTCTTGCCACTATAGACGATGATGCTTAAACCATCTCCGAAACTGTTGCAGATGGTCATTCTAGGGTTGTTGTCACTACGGCTTCTATTTTACTGGATCTACATCTTCCTCAATTGGATCATTATTTTGATGTCCCCTCTGAAGCCAATGTAGATCTATTCATCAACACTTGGGCTATGATTTCACTATTCAGGGTATTCGTCAACACCCCTCCTGTATATCCTCGGGATGATGATGCCAAAAGGAGGAGATTGATCAAGATATGATAATTACTGTCAGTCTGAACCAGAGCCTGAGATTGAAAAGATTGATAATTAGCCTGAAATGATGAATATTATGAAGGTTTTCTAGATATGGATTTCATGTCATAAACTGTTTTTCCTGTAAATGTTATAGTTCCTACTTCATTCTCTAAGGGAGAGATTCCTCAGGGATCTCATAGTGACGTTAATTTTGATGATGATCAGCTCAATCCAAGAAAAAGAAAGGCTTCCTTCTTAGGGGAGCTAATGATGCTGAAGCTGGTAGTTCCTCAGCCCCCCGTAGTTTTCTCAGTTCTTCTCCTACCATGAAAAGAAATATGACAGTTAATTTGGAAGATTTATCTGAGCAATGTAGAATTCTGTTAGAAGAAGTCAGGGAAATCATGTTGTAAAACAATACTTCAGCATGAAATGATAGAGATGACGTCGCTCCACCAAGCTTGCTCATATGTTGCCTCAGGTGATCGAGGTCTAAATATTCAAAGTGTAGATCTTCAGTGCCTTAAGAACATTGTTGCACATCGGAAAAGGTTTTCTGAGCTGTGTGATAAAATTGACAGAAAGAAGTTTTTAGACGTTCTTGGTCGAAGATCTAATCTTGATTCCATCAAAAAGGTTAGGTGTACTAAACCCAAGGATGAATTGCTGAAGATTCATTTGGTCAAAAAGAAGGGATAGTGAATACACTGAATTTTTGTTTACCTGTGGGTTAGTCAAATATGGCTATAATGAATGGATCCCGATTCAAGAGTTTATTGTTAAACATAAGGGCATTCAATTCCAGGAAGTGAAATTGACACTGCAACAACTCATTAGCAAAGTCAAAAACCTAAACTTAGTGCCTTTTGTTGGTTCTTCTCAGCAATCTTCATCAACTACAACTCCAAATCCAAGAATGTCTATACATACAAAGTATCTTCTTCCATTTCACACTATATACATCAATAATAAATTGCCATTAGGAGTTGAGCTTATTAAGTGCATATTCATCTGGGAGCCTGTACATGATATCCTTTATCTTGCCAGTCAAAATCATATGTGCTTTCAACGCACTGATGACCTTCTTGGTGCTCCTACTAAGCATTTGTTTCATCTTCGTACGGAATGCATTGGTCATAAAGAATTTGAGCAAGGTTATCATGTGTTGATGTCTCTTAAACTCAGCTAACATTTAGAAGATCTTAAAATTGATTAATTCAAGTGGATAAAGCCAAAAATTTTGAAAAAAGCTGACAAGTTCTCTAAAGATTCACCTGATGACTCTTTTGACGATAAGTTTTGACATCATCAGATAGAGGGGATATTGTAAGGTTACACCTTATGATCTGATGAGTCAAATATCATTCACACAGTGTCCACCAGCATCAAAGTCAGCGACAATGACAACATCAACATTTTATCAACGATAGCGTGACCTTTTGTATAATAGTCTAATATTTTTTATATTAGTCAGTTAGACACTTTGTAATTATAAATAGCTTTGTATTTATAGAATAGATATCTGATCCGTAATCTTAGTGATTAGGATCAGATTATACGTAGATTAGATTACATCCCTTAAATACAGGGAATTTCGTTCATTGTATTCGTATATAGTCTTGCATTAGGGTTGAAACCTAATGTGTTCTGTGACCATCTTTGTGACTACTTTCTGCACCATTTTCTCTTTGTGAGAGCATTTTTCTTATTGAAAACCATCTTTGTGATCATCATTGTTCTTTTTTCTATTGTTTTTTTGTATTATCTTTTCTTCATGTTTATATTTATTTGTATCTAATCAAGCGAACCTTCACTTCCCAACCCATGACTTGTCCAGACCTATTTGGATAATATATCAAGCTCATTAGAACTTATCTAACTTACCACTATATCAACCACAATGATCAATGACTTGATCACTACCTAAACCCAATAATCATTTTTTACCACATTAATCAAGTTTCTAGTTATAATCACCTAACGACCTAACCCCGTAAGCCATTAGCCTAGTTGAAAAATATCAGTGAACTAGGGTATATCACATTTACTGCTCAAATTAAATATTTAATTGATCATCGAGTTCATAATAGCACCATATCACGAAATCCCATAATACATACTCGGGTCTAACAACCCCCTACAAAATATCACACAAACGTATTTATGTAAAATAAAGATACCTCTGCAAATCCCATAATTCAACCCTCGTATCCCATAATGTATAATAGCACCATATCATGAAATCCCATAATACATACTCGGGTCTAACAACCCCCTACAAAATATCAAATAAACTTATTTATGTAAAATAAAGATACCTCTGCAAATCCCATAATTCAACCTTGTATCCCAGTACACTAGTATGAATTTGAAATAATAATTCTCCACAAACACCTCCTGAGCCTCTACCCTAATGGCATTCACAAAACCCTCAAAGCAACACAAATGGTGAGTTTTTATACTCCAGACATGCCACGTCATGGCAAAGACGCGCCATGCAACGGTGACAAAGATTCACCAAAATCGCCACCTTTCGTTTTTTCTCGCCGCATGTCTCGGGGACTCGCTTCACACCGTGTCGTGGTGATTATATCACCATATCATGGTGGAGCACTATTGAACATAGAACTTTGACCTTTTTTTTTACTTTTTTTAAATACCAGCATACTTTCATCCTAACTTCAAACGGTCATAACTTCTTCATACAATTTCTGTTTTCGATCATATTTATATCCTCAGAATCGTCTCAGAGTAATCTATCAATTTTTTCCGTTAATTCATGTCTGTTATGGCAGAATAATACCTATTAAGAAAAATATTTATTATTGCAAATCCTTTTTCCCATGTGAACAACATGCTGATCTTGATATGGTCCATGTACTTTATACTTGTCCAAGGAATTCCACCTTTATATTATTCAGAAATATTTTTTTGTATTTGCTTCCATGATCATTTTTGTAGTTGGAGTCAATGGACCTACACACTTCTTCTACACCTTGATCACACTGTAAATCCTCTTCATTATATATTCCTTAATGTACTCTAAGCAGTTTATTATTTTTGTTGTCCCTCCCATCTATCAGTTTATTATTATTCACAAAGGTTATTCGAAAGCATTTCTGGAAGTGGTCTACCTAGAAATATAATAGTTACTCAAAACAAATAAATCAAATGTGTATAATTTATCATTGAAAGGCTTGTTTGAGAGTGGTATACCTTTGAAATGACTTCTAGTCCAGTGTCGTGGAGATATATAACTATTCATATGCTTCTTTGTCATATGTATTGAATTCCTTCATGAGATTGTTGAAATATTGAACTGTTGTTGTGGCACACTTTCATAGGTGTTCTTAGTACTCACTAGTTCTCATGTTTTCCCATGTTTTCAATATATATATATATTATATATATAATTATATATATATATATATAATATATATATATATATATATATATATATATATATATATATATATATATTATGTGTGTGTGTGTCTGAGACAGAATCTGTGTTCATCAACTGGGGACATCTGAGCAATGGTTGAAATTAACCTCAATAAAGACAATAAAGGATAATTAGTATATTACAAATTCAATTAGAAAGCTACAACAAATCAATTACCTTTTGTCTATCACTTATAAAAGTGAAGTTTCAAAATGGTGACTTTACAGATCATCTCCCAGGTACTCAAATTTCCAAACTTTGTGATTTCTCAGAATCGATAATGGTATTATCTCAATGGGTATATATACTCGTTAGAGTCTAAGCAACTGTAATCAATATCTTCCCTGAGAAAGGTCCTTTCATAAAGGCCCCATATAAACCAATGAATCCCCTAAGCCATACTTTGAAACCCTTTCTCATTCCACCTAAGCAAACATAGTTTCTCTAAAAACATATTGAAGTTGCATTTATAAGATTTAGTTCTAAAACCATGACCAACTTCAAAGTAGTGTCTGGATTTGTGGACTACATCTCCAGTTTGTAATATCTCAGCACTTCATACTGTTTTGTGTAATCTCGAAACACATGTTTTTTTGGCATATGTTATAGCCATGATGTAACATCCCAAAAACCATGGTAAACATTTTCATTTTCAAAACACATTTTTCATAAAATCCATATAATAATCAAACGTTGTTTCCAAACCAAAAAAATAAAATTCAGAGTGTCAATATCATCTCTCAAAACATAAATCAACATGAGGATGAGTATGATCATGCCTTCGCCTTACCCCGATCATCTGAACTATCTTAAAACATTTAAATTCAAAACAGTAAACCAAAGCTTAGTGAGCTCCCCTAAAGTACTCCACACAACATTACACATACAATGCATGCACACCTAGGCCTAAAGTCTTACTGGTCCGTCTTGCAAGGCCTATAAGAGTTAGACCATTCCCTTGGGCCTACAGTCTAATTGGACCGGCTGGTTATCTTGACCTTAAACATAAATCAGGGCCGCCTCAATCCAACCATAGTATGTCGATATATTGATATATACTAACAATCAGACAATACCAACACTACAAGTAATTATAACCAATCTACCAATAAAACAGATCACTACAACATACCAACATCCTATACGTAATAATACATACTTTTGTACAAATTATAGTGAGAAAACTCACCTTACGGTCTAGCAGTTAACAACACAACTCTCGTAAATCTAAAAACTGGCACTACAGGTCCCTAACAAAACAATCAGGGTCCAATTCTTAAACTACAACCCAAAACCCTCAAATTGAAACTAAGTTAAATTTCGACAAAAAGTCAACGATCAAAGTCAAATTCAACAATCAAAAGTCTCACACACGGCCGCCACGCGCCGTGGCCAAGATTTTGCCATGTCCTAATGACCTTAGTAAAAAAAAGTCACGGAGACTGTCTGCCACTATGCCGTGGGAACTGTACTTGCCAACTTAATGCATTAAGAAATGCATATCTAATTCATTTCTTAAACACTAGTTAGGTCAAAATGAAGTATAACGAGGTCAAAACCTCATGCAAGGGTTCAAAACTCAATCAGTCTGTAGATCTAGGACATATTATAACAAGATGACCTCAATAATCCATAAATTTTCCAACTTTACTGTTTCAAACCTCGCCAACTAATCCAAACATGAAGAACAAGGCAAGGAAACCTAGATCTATAAACATGAAGCATAAAGGTTGGAACTTGAAGACTCACAATGGTCCAGAAGATGAGCTAGAAGGTGGATGAGGGGGTTATTTGCTAGATCTTCACAGAATGGATGTCTTCTTCTTATTCTTCTCACCAAAAATCACTATGAACTCTCAAAACAAAATGAGCTAAGGCTACTTTTGGGTTGAAAGGGAGGTGACGAAGGTTGAGGTTGTGCAAACCCGCATCACATCCTTTAAATAGGACTTAAGGCCCCAAAATTAGTCTTTTACAACCTGGTTGTCATAACATCATGGCTAACATCATGCCATGTTTGTGGGGACCAAAAATGAATGTGTGATGAAACTGGTATTGACCAGCTGTGGTGCATACTTCGCCACGTCGTGGTCACCACAAAACTTATTATTTAAGACTTGAATTGCCAAAACTCACAAATAATATTTACCTGGAACTTGGTGTTACAACTCTCCTCGACTTGAATCAACTTCATCCTCGCAATCCTCAGCTGCAAACATATCCAGGTAGTGCTCGCGCACCTCCTTCTCCAGATCCCAAGTCCATTTTGTGCTCTTCCGGTGCTGCCACAACACCTTGACTAAGGGTATCCCCTTGTTGCGTATGGTCTTTGTTTTTCTATACAAAATCACCAATGCCTCTCTACATAATTCAAGTGATCATCGACCTTAATGTCGTCTAATGGGACTACCACTGTATCATCTACTAAGCACTTATGAAGCTAGGAAACATGGAAAGTGCTATGAATCTAGCTCAACTCCTTAGGCAAATCGAACCGGTAGGCTACCTTGCCCACCTTGGTCATAACTCAAAAAGACTTGATGAATCGGGTGCTCAACTTGCCCCACTTCCTTAAGGTTCGGTGAATCAGGTGCTCAACTTGCCCACCTTGGTCATACCTTCCGTAAAACCATATCTCCAACCTGAAATTCCAAAACTTGGATAGTCTCTTATAAACATAATTATTGTGTTGAGTATATGTTGACTGCAACTTCTGTCTGATCTACTGAATAAGTTCTATCATA